CTGCACTTAAAATGCATCTGAGTTGTTTCGATTCAAATCCAATGTGGTAATGTACAGAACCAATATTTATATTTTTAAATATTTATGGACCTAACTGTATATACAAACATGATTCATAAAGACACAGGCACAGAAACGGGTAACTGTATAAGAAAGCCTTTGTTGCATAAAACGCTGCTATTTTCACAACTTCGTTTTCTTTTAGTGGTTTAAAAACTGAACTTGACGCGCAATAAGCTGCAATAACTTTCTGAGCAGCACCTGAATGCAGCACTGAACCAGAACCCACTCCGTCTGCTGTAGCGGCATCTAGCGGTCAGAAGTTCGAACAGCAGTTAAACAGACAGACGGATAATCTCAGCGTCGTTGGTGCAGCGGATCAGATAGACTGACCGCAGCGCGCACATACAGACACACACAGAATCTGCCTGTCTGTCGTTCTGTCTGCACGGATCCGCAGACGGTCAGCTGGTGAGCCGCACACAGACAGGACACGAGGCGGCCATGAACGCAGCGTGTTTCTGACAGCCTCCATCCGCATCCAGAGCGCAGCCGCTGCTTGTATCAGAGCGATCTGTGCTTTCAAAACGGAGGAGGGGAGCACTGCAGCAGACATGCCGGGCCTGCTCCACATCACTCTGACCGGTGAGTCTCATTCTTTAATAATGTCTGATCTTTTTATTTCATGCAGCTATAATCACAGACCGCGACAGCATTTTGAGAACGGTGGATATCCTACAACAAACACCCTCAATGAAAATATGAGGCTGACAGAATTCTTGGGATACTTTGAAAACATCACAGACGAAGACGAAACTCACTACTGAGCGCCAAATGTGCGTTTTTTATTTAGTGCTGCAGGAAATGATGATAATAATAATAATAATAATAATAATAATAATAATAATAAATGGAAAAAGGGTGTAACCAGCAGCCTGGGCGCGATCTCCTTTAATGAATCGCTCAGGTTAAATCCTGCGAAGTGGATGCAGGCTGGCAGTGTGTAGGAGGCGCGCAGTGCACTTAAATCAGTGGACACACACTGCAGTGTTTGACACACACACACACAGAAGGCAGAACCAGCTGCACCAGACCAAAATCTCCTAGATATGTTTGAGTCAGTTATTAACATGATCATATCATTTGACAAAAAAATGACTTTGATCAAAGTCAATTTAGAAACAGAATAAATGTGAATTTAGAGTCACAATATAAACCCGAATTGTTATTTTGTGGTGGCAGCTGCAGAAGAACCCCTGCCCATGTTTGAATTTCCAATATTTTTGCTTTTGTTGGATTCATTTTTGTCAGAAGACACATTGCATCTTTTTTTTGTGTGAAATGTGGAGGTTCATCTTTGTGTCCGTGCTTAAAAAACTACAAGTATTATATGGCAGTTTGTTAAATAAGAAATAATTCTTTATGGGGTTGGAAAGATTTGTGGGGTGGGCACAGGTCTTATAAGCTGATCTAAAGCTTAAAGCACGGAGGTTGATGGCTTAAAGCCAATTCCCTGGGACATTATGTAGACTGTAGAGTAAAAATGTCCACTATTAGATTTTATCTGCCATGTCAACTTAAACTGATGGCATCCAGCAGTTTTAAAAAAGCGTAACAACAAAAGTAAATATGAAAAAATTTGCTTATATCTGTTCAAACATCCATAAATATGGATTGATGGAGTGAAATACTAAACCTCTATTCAAATTTTGAATCAAATTACACTAATTAGTTAAAGATAGTATGCATCTTGAGGAAACTGACTTATAGTAAGTTAATGTTTTCATAGTGACATATTCCCAGAGCTATAGTACTGCTTGGCCTGTTTGTATTATTGGCAACATACTTAATCACACAAACAAAAGTTAGATATTAGTAGATATGATTTATGGTCAGTCCTAGATAGTTGCTAGGCATGTACAATTACATTTTTGTAGATTTAAATGAGATCTCATTAAAAACTGTTAAAATGAAAACGACAAGATGCTTTCATAGGGTGTTATAGGTGCTTAAATGCTATTAAACCAGTCATATTAGATCCGTGGTGAGAAGAAGGGAACATAGATAAAGATTTTGTGTATTATAGAAAGATAACTCTAAGAATTAGCTTCCTAGATTGCAATGTAGATAAAGCTAAAAACAAAAACAACCCAGAAACCTAAAGGCCTAGTACCATAGTGTAAAACAATTCGTTCCTAAAATTCTGGCATGGAGCACAGCATTTTTATTTAGAAAAATGAATTTTAGTTATATATCATACTAGCATGCTAAGCTTTGATGAATTGTATCATTACAATTATTGTGGTACATTAGCATCTCAGTTGGCTATATTCTCCAAAATGTAAGAAACTGGTCAAATTTACTCACATAAACAATCATGTAATTGAAAATAAATTTCAGTTTATTGCTAACTTTGATATTATAAAAACTAAATAGGCATGAACATAACGTTAGTTTGACCTGGTGTTCACTGCATCAAGATCCGGCCTGTATAAAATAAATTAGGCCACAGCTGTAAATTCTTCTTTAGTACAGTTTTTGCCAGCTCACAGCCATCCCATCACTCTGCAGCTACAGCATTTTAACTCACACGATAACAAAGTCCTGCCCAGTTGTTGTCTTCAAATCACAGTGGGCATAGTTACAGGACATATATTTATTCACAGGATGAGTCATCAGAAACCTTTATTTTTGCTCTCACAGCTATGTTATCCTCACAATGCAGCTGTTAAGACAAATGCCGTTCTCAACATTTCTTATTACACTAGAGTGATTTAAACAAATAATTGCACATCCTATCTATTTGTTATACTGTACCATGCAAGCTAAATGCGATATACATACTACACACAGCAATACCTGGATGGTTTCTTAGCTTTAGGTTTGCTACATTAATCAAGAATGATGGTTGGTAATTTCTCACATTCAGATTAACCTCTTGAGCCCCAAGCCTAACTGATCTCCTGCCTTTTGCCCTCGTATCAGGGGGCGTTGGGGCTTAAGAGGTTAAAAACTTAAAGTGTAAAATCAATATTACATGCATGAGATCACATGTAATATAATCTATATATTTTTTCTTATTATTCTTTAATTAGACATATAACACTGCTCTATTTCTTTAATTGTGGTCTAAATATTTAAGTTGATCGTGTTGCATGTAATTTGGGATGAACTGATTGGAGTACTGCTCCACATTTTAAGGAGCCAACTGAAGTGGTGCAGGGATCTGACCAGGATGCTACCTGGTCAGGTAGCATCTGCCCAGGATGCTAGGATGCATCTGACCAGGATGCTACCTGGTCAGAAGCATGTTTTTCCGGCATGTCCTGCTGGTAGGAGCCTCTGAAGTAGACCCAGGGTACATTAGAAAGATTACATCTCTCAGCTTCCAGATGAGATGAGGAAGTGTCTGGAGACAGTGACGTCTAAACATCTCTCCTTAGTCTGCTACCCTTGTGACTTGGACTCAGATAAATAGATGGAGCAGTGACTGAACTCTTTGTATATACCTTTGGGTAAATGGACTACTAATGCAGTACCAGTGTGAAGTGAAAAACTTGCAAACAAAAGCTGAGGCTTAAGACCAAATACTGATCAAATATTGATCTCTTAGCTCATTATAATTCATGAGCAAGGAGCCCTTGATGTCAGAGCATTCTTTTAGAAAGAAAAGAGTTGGTGCTTTAGAGCTTGCTCTTAGCTTCTCGACATGCAAACAGCTACTTTGTTTTGTGTTTCAGGGTTGGAAATGTGAAGGTGGTGCTGAAGGTCCTTAATTCTACTTGGTGGTTTAGCATTTGATTGTAAAAACACATCAGATTGAATAGAAATCTATCCGGTCTTTAAGTGATGACGTGACGAAACCTGCTTCCGGGCCTAAAGTAGTCTGCGTTTAATATGGCTTTTGTGTTGTTAACATGTTTAATGTTTTGTATTTTCTTCTATTTAATCTCAAAAAGCTCCTAAAAACAGTCAGTGATCACTGTTGGCCTCACTCGGCTCTTATTACCCCTAATCATTTTAAAGTTTAGTTTTTAAAACCTTACTATGTAACTACAGCCCAGCCCATGCAGCAGTATATTAATGACTAACCTCGTATTGTGGATGGATTATCTCAGTTGTTCTCCTGGCTGAAGTTTGGTCCGTTTACAGCATCCTGCCATGCGATTACATTTGTTCCTGACCAACGAGAATCCTCACGTTAACTTTTATCGAGTGGAAAAAAGTTCGCGTGTTTATATTATGCTAACACAGCTGTGTCGCTAGCGGTCACATAGCACATCATTATATACCAGCTAGTCAAACTTCAGTAACCCTACAAACATCACTGCTGTTTAGTTTTCTGTCTTCATTTATGTTGGCAGTGATGGCAGAGCTGTACGTTTGAATTTGTTTCTAAAATCCCTCAGTCAGGACATGCTATATTGTATTTAGATGGAAGCTAGCGAGCTAACTTCCTGCTAATTTCTAACTCTGTTAAATGTCATAAATTCCATTTTCATGGATGCCTGGATGTTAATCTCAATTGCTACACCTGGTAGAGCAGAACGCTGATCATTTTATTACAGATGAAAGACTTTAGACAGTTTTTCAACTCTCAGTGATGCCTTGATTTATGGACCTGCAGCGGAGTTTGAGCCCAGACACGGCTAGTGACGTCAGACTTAAAGACCGGATTGGAACGCTGCTCTTGATCAAGTGTGTTCATTTATAAATACTGGTTCCTTACATCAAAAGCGGCCTTTGATAGCTTTGAGTGGTATAAATATGTAAAATTGTGGTTTTTTTGAAAACCAAAGATACCTTTAAACATCAAATGCCAATTAATGTCCATTTATTAAAGGACAATAAAGCGTGGCGTGTGATCCCTCAGTCCTCTCAGTCACAACATGTAGTTACAAAATACCAAAGCATTCAGCTTGTGCCTAGTAGATGAATTCAAGGTGGTTACGTCCATGTTTTTATATGATCTGTAGGTGTAGCCACCTAGGAATATATCATGGTACCTATACTTATACACAGTTTATGATTTCAGCATTAAGTCTCTGTTGTTGTTAGAGGAGAGTTTAGTAGAAAGAACGTACTCTGATACTGACAGTGTTTGAGGTTTCAGTCATTGTGGCCTGAGGTTTTCACTTCTGCTGCATTAGCTCACTTGTACGATGTATATTCCTGTTGGGTATGTGGCATAATAATGCAGCATCTGTTCAGTAAGACTGAAAAGAACGCTGCATCAGTACCAACATAGCAAAATTTAAACTCACAAAGCACTGTTTTATATCTTTATGGCCAAATATTAATTGATCAGCAATGAATCAGGGAGTATCAGTTTTACATATGTTGTTTTTCTGCTGATTGTCTTAGGTTTTCCTGGAGAGCGTTAATTTTAACTAAATAAACTGCAACTCACATTATCTCAGGATAAAATAAGGACTGTTTCCTGTTTGGATGCTTATGGATTCACCACAGTGTTGACTTGGGAATTTGGAAAGTACAAAGGAAAAATCCCAAAAGGTTGAATTTGTTCATCTGGACATAACGTTTTCAGTAGGAGAACGCTACGTTTTGTCACTCACCCAAGTGACTTCTTCAGTCACTTGGATTGCTTTAATAATAAGGAATTGCAGCGACAGAAACAGAGTTGTTCTCCTCATCTCTCCCTCCTTCTGTTCCTCCCATCCACCACCTCACCATCCTCTCTTGCATATTACCTCACTGTCCTTGGAGCTCTTCACTGGATCAGTAACTCACAGTGAGAAGGGGATTTCATGGTCCATTCTTTTGAAGCAAAGCGCTTTTTAAAATTGCAAAAAAACCCCAAACAAAATCTGCAGATAAAAAAAAAAACTAACTTCTTTTGTGACATTTTCTCATTTTTTCTAATGATATATTTTGTACTTATTCACAGAAACACATCATCATTAGTGTTCCAGTGTTTTTAAAATAATCACCATGGTTGCTTTGGAAGTGTATGGGCTCCAGTGAGTTTTGACTTTGCTGTACATTGTATGGTCATTGGGCTTACCTAAATTAAGCCCTGGGTTCCTCCATCCCTTCTCACTTAAACTAAGAAACATCTCAACATTGAATTCAATCTAAAGTTTGCACAGACATTTGGGGGCACCAGCAGGTCAGGTTTGTCGTATTCCTTCCAGTTTTACTTTGTGTTTAATATTAAATAGAAAAAAGTTTACTTTTCCTGCTGCACTGACGAAGGTAAATGTTGTAAACTTTATACCAGACAGCAGCAGTGTCTGAAGCATTCCCAGCTAAGAACAGATGCTCAGCAGCTTCACATTCAGAGACACAGACCTCTCCTAACAATGATTGCTGAAGGAGTCTGCATAAAACTTCAGCAGATGAAGTCCATCCCCTTTGTCAGAGCTGGAATGGACAAATCCAAGAAATCATCACCATCACACATCCTGACTTCAACAATTAGTGGACCTCAGATAGCAGCTGAAGTTCCTAAGTCACATTGCAGCCACCACCCTGCAATCAGCTTGAAATGGGCTTTTGGGGTATGACTATGCACTGAAGTACGAATTTGTCTGCTTATAATTTAAGTAGTAAGTCTGTGCCTTAAGTCTATTCACTTTCCTGTCATTTCTGGCCGTTAATCAAAATATGTTTGAGTACACCAAAGAAACAACATCTTTGTAGGCATGAAGGCGACCATCTTTCTATGCAGAAATAGCCCTGCACATTTAGTCATGGCCACAGTATACAAAGGAACATGAAGATCTCTGGAGATGGACTTGTAGACTTGTTGATATGTTTCCACAATTTTTGTTCTCAAGTCCTCAAACAATTTTCGGCTCTTCTTTCTGTTCTCCATGCTTAGTGTGGCTCACTCAGACACGCTACAGAAAGGTTGAGGGAAATTTTCTCCATTTTAGCTGGCTTCAGTTGTCATTGCTATATTGCCAGCACATGTTTCTTGCCAAAGGTAAGTTCAAATGAGCATCGTATGCTTGACATAAAACAATTTACCCACAATTTTAAAAAGGTGCCAATAATTTTGTCCAGCCCATTTTTGTGCGAAACACTTTCAAATCTGGCTTTTTTCTCTGTTTTTTGTGTTGATCCACTGCACATAAAGGAATTAAACATGTTTATACCGAAACATTTGTAATTTTAACAATTTCTTAGGAGAAATTGGGCATTTTCTGGAAAAATTCTGATAATTGCATACTGTACACGCACACACACACACTGAGTCCAGGCAGTGAGCATCCAATGTATCTGACTTTATACAATATTTATAATTGTTCAGTTGAACTAAAATGCATCACTGGGGTTGTTTTTTCTCTTTGGTCTGCACGTTTAAAGTTGGCTCGAGCCAGCAGGAGGGAACTGGCGGATCACGGGGTGGAGACTGTGGGGTTATGGTGTTGGACTAGAGAGCTTAGCATGCTGCAGACATGTTTGAGATATGTTGTCTATGATATTGTAATCTGCTCACTTAGCCTTTGAGGTCAGACAGCCATCTGTGGTCTCAGACGGCTACATATGGGTGGTTACAGTGAGGGCTCCCCCTCCATTAGGGATTAGTGATGGATGCATAAGTGATGGATGCAGGAACTGGTCAATTTATATTAAAAAAAGACCGCTGGAGAAGTTAGCAATTAAACAACAAACGGATGAGCAGGTGATAGTAGCAACCCTAAATGATGAAAAGGCACAATAGGGGTGTGTAACACATTTGGCAGACTGCTGTGCCTTCATTCTAAAATTAATTTATGAGCTCCTTATTAGCAGTTGCAGCTATAAGCTTGAGTTTATCTATAAATACTTACTAATAGCCAGCTACAGATGACTAACTGTGAATTAAAAACAAGAAACCAAGACAGTATTGTAAAAAAAAGACACACAAACTAAACAGCTAAAATGTGTTCTTATTAACTGGTTCAGTATTGTGAAATAGTTACAACAATGGCTCTTGTTGCTGGACATCAATGTTCATCCGATTGGTCTCATGTACTGATCTGTGTTCATGTACACATTCTCTTTCCATTTCAGTTGTTTTTTAAAATTGTTTTCCATCACTGAAAGCTACCTTGCACAGTTTAGGCATCAGAACTGCTCGGTTACGGTTAGAAAACACAACTGTTGATGCTTTTTGTTCTCCTCTGAAGATTTTCTATAGTCATGCTGACTGTAAACAGGACAATCTGTCAAATTGCCTTTTTTCTGACTGCTTTACCAAAGCCATTCATGACAGCTTATATACCATTTATAAATAGTACAGTATTCTATTATGCAGGTAGTGATAAACTGTAATTAAGCCCTGCATTAATTAGTGAACACTCAAATGAATAGTGAATCAATTAGCAAATGAAGGAATTAGTGCAGTAAGATGTCATGGGAGTCCGATAAGATACTGAGAGAAATTTAAATACAAAATGAAAGAGCTGTCACTGACGTTCCAATATGATGAATATAACACTTCTTTGATTTGAGAATATTTAACAGTAAATGAAATCTCTTTAATGTGCAATACAGTCTATAGAGTGCTCCTATCTCTGCTCTGCCCCTGGACTGCTGTTCTTCAAAGTGTGCTGAGTAACAAAACAAGGAGTGCTGCAATTCTGCATCGGGAATTAGTTAAATGGATTTCATCTGTCAGTTCATTTAATTCTAATTATTTTTTTAATAGTTTTTACTTTATTTTTCCATTGTGAGCCACTGTAAGTTTTTTTTTTAAAAAATTCAACATATAAGAGCAGATGGTGTCCAGATGTTCAGAGCAGAGGATCAACAGCTGACAAGCTGTAATTGCAGCAAAACCTTCATAACAAGTTTTATTCCATCTAAGCCAGAAATGTGAACTTCAAACATGTGAAAATCACACTTGTGTGTGTGTGTGTGTGTGTGTGTCTATCAGGAAAGCTTTATAGAGATTATGTTTGATTTGTTTCCTTAAATTCTGTTTTCTTTACACATTTTCTCAGTATGCTATTAATCAGTGGCAGTTAGTTTCAGGCTAAGCTACCACTCCAGTGTGATTAACTGCAGTGGTACATTCTAGTATCAACTCCAGTGTTTTTTTGCTTTCTTCCCTGTAGCTCTTCTGGCCAGCTGTGATGCCTTCAGGCTGGGTTCTTCCCACCGTGTAATTCCCCTCAATGCTCCGGCGGCTCATCTCTTCAGGGATGAAAGTCCAGCCAAGTCAAGTTTCATCCTGGAGTTAGTGAGAACCAAACGTCATTTGGTCCAGGAGTTAGTGCGAGCCCAGCCTCATTTGGTTCATGACATGGGTTGGCCAGAGATACATGAAACGTCACGCTCACAGACCAAGATGGAGTCAGCTAACTCATCTCAGTTGAGCGCACCACCATCTGCGAGTCAGGTGGCAAGAGCTCATGCAGCTGTGGATGACAACCTGGATGTGGAAGATGAGATGGAGGTGAGGGCACATTGCTTTTGTGTTTTGTAACAGATTAACTGAAATCCTTTAGATGAATTACGGAGAGCTGAACTGGAAAATAACCACGCAATTTAGTTTGGCCGTTTTGTCTTTGCTTATGTGAAAAAAATCTCATCTTTTCATGACTTGCAGTATGTTTTTTAAGTCTTGCACAAATAGTTACAACATGAAAAACATGAAGGCACCGCTGCTGCCCTTTAAATTACACTCTGCAGGAGCAGAAATCGTGTAAATAACAACATGAAATAATGATGAGTCATTCCTTTGATCATTCTGAGCCCAGCTTTTTTATTTATTTATTTTAATGCCAGTTAATCATCATTATTAAACCTGATTTTTTTTTGGAATCAAGGAAGAGAGGCTGAAAGGATAAATAGTTTGGAAAAGCTCTGAAACAATGTTGTATCCTTGCTTTCATTTAAGAAATATTTATGCCTAGTTCTTGTCTAATTTCATCTGCTCATCATTTATTAGTTTGTCTCAGCGTGTCTGTATATCTGACCAAATATTTGTCTGCTTTCAGCGTATGGTTCATCTGGCAGTTCCACAAGATGCAGAAAGCTACACGGTAAATCCAGACTTCACTGACCCAGAGGCGGAGCCTCTCAGCGGGCCAGGAGCTGGCGATTCTTCCCAGGAAGCTTCTGGGTTCTATGGAACAGATATGGAGGACAGAGACAGAGGAGAAGAGGGCCCAGAGGACCGAGAGAGAAGAGGAGGAGAAGACGAGTGGGAGAAAGAGGCAGGGGAGGAAAACGAGAGCAAGGGGAAAAAGGAAGACGAGAAGGGAAGAGCGAGAGACGATCAACATGTTTTGGATGCCTTTGAGGTCAACCACACAACACCAGATCTCGATGCTCTGATTGGTTAGTAAAAATCGTTTCTCTTATTAAAAAACACATCCTCATGCAGCTTCTTTGTGTTTGGGATTTAGTTCTCTACCAAAGCCCACTGTCATTCAGCAGGAAGTTGCATCTTCAGAGACTTTATTGTTATTCCACAGATGTCTGGGACCAAATGTTTGCCTGGGAAAAAACAATTTTAAATCAACATTTTTACAGACTGTGCTGCTCCACTTTGGTGGGCAAACATTATGTCTGCATCTCAAGCTGTTGTGGGAAGTGAGTTATGATACTGGTTCTTAAATATTAATTTTTGCAAAGGGTAAACATTCAGTCTGGGTATATAGAAATGTGGGAAAGCACCTGAAGATATAACCAACTGCTGGAGAAGAAGAGATAAAAGCATAGACTGTATGTAAAAGATGGGCATATTTTCTGGGTCTGAAAGAGATTTTTTTTTCAGGTTTACTTCAGGTATTTCACAAAGAATTTGAGGACTAATGACTTCTTCCTCATATTCAAAGTCAAATTTGCACAGTTCTCATATATATATATGTATAT